GTATGTATGTATGTATGTATGTATGTATGTATGTATGTTCGTAAGTACGTACGTATATATGTATGTATGTTATGTAGTTTGTATGTATGTATTGACAGATTTCTATTTAATGTAGACTCTACCCGGTTTATCGGTATATCGGTTCGATTGATCGTTTAATTATTTATATAGCGCTTGTTTTTGTTCGATGTTTATTTAACTGCTAAATGTAAACATCTTTCTGAATGTTTTTTTTTATCTCAATCATGTTTGTATGTTTATAAGTGTGTATATATGTACGTGTGGATGTGTGTGTGTACATCTACGTTTGCATATGTGTATGTATATTAATGTGGTATTTTGCTGAATAAAAAATTGTTTCAATTCAATTCAAAAATATGTATTAAACTTAAAACTTAACTTATAATGTATGTATGTATGTGTATGTGTGAATGTTTGAGTCGGTATATTCTGTTATAAGATAGTAACGACCACAAAACACCATTGTGTAGCGAGGTGCGAAAGCTCCATATTTTTTGGGCAAATTGTTATTAATGACGTCACTAATATAATTGTGACGTAACATAATGAAATTTATTATTGTTATTATTTTTTATCGCCATAATTTTCGTCATTAATTTTTCTTTCAAAGTTTATTATTATTATTATAATTATTATTATAATTATTATTATAATTATTATTGTTGTTATTATTATTTTTATTATTATTTATGTTTATTTATGCAATTAAATATTTATCGGGAAGCGATCGTTGTGCGCTTGTCAAAGATGCGTCAGAATAACAATTATATCTTTGATTGTATGTGTGTTTGTATGTTTGTATTTGCATGTTTGTTTGTATGTTTTTATGTATGTTTGTATGTGTGTGTGTGAACCCAGAATCTCTTATGAAGATGATGATGAGTATGGTGGTGGTGATAATGATGAAAAAGACGACGACGACGATGATGATGATGATCAGAACGACGATGATGATGATGATGATAATAATGATTAAAGAGATGATGGTGACGATGATGAAGACATAAAGGCTGTCTATATTAATGTTGTAGCGACTGCAGTTACTACATAGACCGCACGCGCAATTCATTCACGTGTGTGTTATTAATGACGGGCGTTCTAGAAATTTCCTTCCTCTCGTCATCATCGTCGTCATCATCGCCATCACACAGATATCTACTGATATTAACCTTAATTTAATTTAAATTAACATCCCCTCTTAAATTATTTTAAATATTTATTTCTATTATTATATATATAAATTTTTCTAAATTGTTATTATTATTATAATTTTTGATTTGTGTTGCTCTTCTGTGACTAATAAATCCAACCCAATTCTCTTTCTTTCTCTCTATTTCTCTCTTTCTATATCTCTCTCTTTTTTCCTATGTCTCTCACTTCCTCTCTCTTTCTCTTCCGCTCTCTTTCTTCCTATGTCTCTCTCTCCCTCTCTCTTTCTCTCCCTCTCTCTTTCTCTTCCCCTCTCTTTCTTCCTATGTCTCTCTCTCCCTCTCTCTTTCTCTTCCTCTCTCTCTCTCTCTCCAAAAAGCAAAAAACTTATATGCACAAGAGTCAGTTAGTTTATTCTGTCATGTAAATCAATTCAATCAAAGGTTTATTGGGCAAGTCTCAAGTGAATAGTCGATACCGCCGGTCCTCCTCGAATAACGAATATCGAGTCCAACTATCGGATAATATTCAACCGGATGACTGATGATAAATAGATAAGTACAGCGTTACCCTTGTTAAAGCACTGCTTTCGCAAGTGAGAAAATTTGAGTGAATTTGTAAAATATTAAATGAGGTATTAATAAAGTTAAATGTAAGTTAATCACTACACATAATCATTTTCATCATCGTCGTCGTCATCAACAAAATCGTTATTTTATTTATTTACATACATACATACATACATACATACATACATACATACATACATACATACATACATACATACATACATACATACATACATACATACATAACCAGGGTCCTGGCAGTGAAAGCGAGCTTAGGTCAGCATGGTTGAGTGCGGTGCCAAACACCTCATGTGGCACAAAGTCATTCGGTCATCCGAGTGAGGAGGGGGTTGTTTGCCACTGCGGAGCAAAGGTTGATCCATTGGGCCATCGTAGTCTCTCATGCTCTCTTGGCTCTGGACGCCAAGTAAGACATTCAGCGATGAATGATTTCGTCGTTTGCTGCTTCCAGAAAACTGCCATACCGGTGATAAAAGAACCGGTAGGCCTGATTGCGGCTGGGAACTTTAGACCTGATGGACACACAATTTCTCCCTGGACTATGGGACGTTCGCTGGCCTGGGATGTGACTTCCCCCACACGATGGCCGAAAGATGCATCTCTTTCACATCGGTTGAGGCAGGTACCGCGGCTTTAAAAGCGTACGACCAAAAATATTTCAAGTAGACTACTCTCAATGATTCTAGAATCTTTCAATCAATATGCATCGAAACCTTCGGACCTACCGACAACAATACCCCTCTGCTCTTAAAAGAACTCATTAATAAAACCATTTTAATATCAGGAAACTCTTTAGATAAAAACCACATTAAAGAATATATATTGGTTCTGCTTCAAAAATTTAATTCCTTCTGTATATATAACCTCTCTGTAAGTGACCTAACAAAATAGAGTATAGCAGAACCTGACTATGATCATAGCCCCATCAATTGCTAGTTAATCAACAAAGGGTCTCACATACACACATACATACACACACATACTTACATACACACATACATACACTTATGCATAATACACACACATACATTTATGCATACACACACATATACATACAAACATACATGAATAAATATTTTTGTATAAACAACAAGCACATCACTGTTAACACTGTACAGGTAAAAATAAAAATTGTGCAGGTGTGCATTGTCGAAAGTTTCATCAAAAAATCCTTCAAAATATTCATCTTTAATTAAAATCAGTCATATTAATTAATACTTATATCATAATTTACTTATTTATGTTTATTTAGATTAATTGTAATAACTATCGATATTATTACTTCATTTTAAAATAAATATTTTAAAATAAATTTCCACGAAAAATGATTTTATCAACTGGTGTTGTCTCATATTTATGCATCTGCCTAATTTCACTATTTGCCGTAACGGGTTAGTGACAACATTCTTGAATTTAATTATATATTACTTATTCTTGTCTATCTTAGTTTTCTTCTTATCTCTGTAATCGTTTTTCTTCTGCTGTTCTTAATAATTCTACTTCTAACTTCTCTACCCTTACTTTTGTGGTATCTCAGGGTTCTATCCTTGGCCCCCTTCTATTTATTTACACTCTACTTCTGAACTACCTCGTGTTATTAATAATTTTTCTTTCTGATAATTCTTATATTTGTGCTTCTTTTCCTCCATCTAATCTCAATAGTGTTCTTCATAATCTATCTCCATCTCTTTCTTCAACTATCCATTCAAATAATTATTTTAATAGACTAAAAGTTAATAAAATAAACTCGTTTTTAATGATATAATAAATAAAAACTTATTTCAAATTAATTTTTGTTTAAAAGTGAACTCCCTGGAATGTTATTCGTGCAAAGACCAGGATGGAAACAAAGATAAATGCATCAAAACGTCGAAGCAGTGCGAGCAGAGCCAAGACGTCTGCTACTCCAGCATCACCTGGAGAAGTTAGTCATGATTATGATTTATTATTATTATTGTTGTTGTTATTATAATGTGTTAGTAGTATCATGGTTGTTGTTGTTATTATGGTGTTTTTGTTGATATAAAATATTACTACTACTAGCCGAAGTAGTAATAGTAAGTAGCAGCAGCAGTTGTGGTAGGAGCAGCAGTAGCGGTAGATGTAGTAGTAGTAGGAGCTGTAGTAGTAGTAATCTATCTTCCAATTTGAATCCTTGCATGCATAAACACACATCTATCACAACATCAAAAAATTCCTAATTTTCTTGAAAAAAAACTCCTAATTCTCTGAAAAAACTCCTAATTCCCTGAAAAAAAATCTAATTCTCCGGGAAAAACTCCTAACTTTCCGAAAAAAATTCCTAATTCCCCAGTTCCGCCATATTGGACCCCTCGTGGCAATCGAATACACTACCTGTCGAAAGACTGCGACACCCAGAAGAAGTGTCAGGCCAAGCAAGAGCAACTGAAGCACATCTGCATCAGAGACTGGTACTTGGATTGGCAGTGCCACGAGTGTTGTCAGGGCGATCTCTGCAACTACTACGTAACTGTTAGTAATGTTACTATGTAATAATTATATCTATAGTATTATACTTTGTATAATTATAGTTGTAATTATAATATAGTCATAATATAATATAATAATTTAATATAGTTATAATTATAACGTAGTCGTTATTATTCGTTAATTATTTCTGACCTGTTTAGAAGTTTTTGTACATTCATCTTTCTTTCCGCCCTACGTCATAACTTTAATTAAAATTATAATATAGTCATAATTTAATATAATAATTTATTATAGTTATAATTATAATCGTACTATAGTAGTAGTAGTAGTATTTTTGTTATTCTTGCCGTAATTGATGACGTCATTTTCTCTTTGTATACTTTGTTGCAGTGAATGCTTCGGCGACTGAGGCTGCAACTACAACGTCCACGCCACACGACGTACACACGTACCACACGATGTACACACACGCCACACAGCGTACATGCGCACTTTTATGTAGGCGCAAAATACGCGCAAAATTCCTATGATGGTTTTTGAGTAATGCGTGGTCTGCGTTTGAACCTGGTAACCGCGCAACAGTGCAAAATATAGCCATGGCTGTGTGTTGTTATTCTTGTTATTATTATTTTCTCTAAAACAGCTGGGATCGACGCGACAAGAGCCACCAACCACCACCTTAATGTTACTCATCATAACTGGATTCCTAACAACGTACATTGCATCTTCTGTATCATTACTATAACGTTCATAGAAACTTATTATTATTTTTTTTTTATTATTGTTATTATTTTTGATATTATTACTGCTGTAAAAAGACTTTAGCGTCAACAATTGCTAAACACCGTTACTATTATCAATCGTTATTAATCAATCTCTTTTTTAGAATTTGTTGAAAACAATTTTCCTCTCTCTCTCTTCTCTCTCTCTCTCTCTCTCTCTCTCTCTCTCTCACCTACGCTTACATACATACGCACATACAAACACACATACACACAAGCACACATACACACAAACATACATATACAAACACACACACGCACACTCATTCAAAAACTTCTTTACGAAAACAAAAAAAAAACAAAAACGAACTGATGGAATGACGTCTCTTTTTTCAAAAAATGAATGAATAAAATGTGTTTGTCTGCGTGTGTGTGTATATGTGTGTGTGTATATGTGTGTGTGTATATGTGTGTGTGTGTGTCTGTGTGCGTGTGTGATTATTATTTAAACTTTTAAACTGGCAAACGATATAGCAATAGTAACGAAATGTACGTACTATAACTTGAGCAATACGAATAATATTAATAGATATACACACACACACATGTACATACATGCAAACATACATACAAACATACATACATACAAACAAACAAACATACATACATACAAACAAACATACATATACAAACAAATAAATAAAAATCAACTTTCAAAACGTCGGAAAATAAATTAACGTGCAGACGAATTCGTCGTTTAGATCCAATTAAATCAGTGTAACTTTGGTTAATTTTGATTAACTAGTTAATTAATCGTTAATTGATTCATTAAATTTTTAGTTTTCTGGTTAATTATCGAATAATAACAATCAGTGTGATTGATTTGTTGAACCACCAAATTGTCAGTTATCGGTATATAAACATTGAATCAGTTAATTATGTGCCAATAAATTAATCATTGATCAGCTAGAAATGAGGTAACACATCAAGGTATCTTATTAATTAATTAATTAATTTAGTAATTAATTGATTGATTGGTCAATTAAATCAATTAATCGTTTAAATGGACTCGTAGCCGTATCGTCTAATTCTCGAATCACTGTTACGCCGTGCTCTGAAACAGCAGACCACCAGTACAGCAATGGCGATCAGGCAGACGAGAATTAGTATCAGTATCGCCAGTTCCCATGCCGAATACTTCGTCACTAACCCTAACCTTTGCTGATACTGCATCAGAGTGCCCATGGCTCTAGCGTCAGTTAAGTTGGCGCGAATTTGGTGGCTGTGGTAGTAGCAGGTTATGTTGCAGCCGACTGGGTTGACGTTTTTGTGGTCGTTGGGGGCTGTGGTGGCGACAATATCGAGGCTTCTGCGTCCGCTGTTGGGTCTGTCGCTACGGATGTCGCTGCTGACGTCATCGTGATCGTTGATGACGTCATCGCGGCGGCTGCTGTTGTTGTTTGTGAATATCGTGGTTGTTGTTTCAGCTGCTGCTGCTGCTGTAGTTGTTGTGGCTGCGTGCGTGAAGTTTCTCTGAGTGCGACAAGGTGAATATGAGAAATCTGGCTTTGCAAAGCACTGTAAAAGTTAAAAATTTGTGTGTATGTGTATGTTTATGTGTGCGTGCGTATTAGAGTGGCGTGTTGTAGATTTTAATCTGATTAATATTAATTAAACGTAAGAATCTAGAGTAATAAGAGGAATAATAAGTAAGTAATGTAATAAGTAAAATTAAAAAAGAGTGAAGTGGCCACAAACTAGCCACTAACATTCCCGCGATCGTTGGCGTCATCGTTGACCAGGAAGCCCTCCTTCCACTCGTGCGATCTCCACTCAAGATAACTTACTGTGGCTCTCATGCAGGTGTTGTTCACGCAACTGTTGTGTGTTGGTTGGTTGTTGGATGTTTGGTTTGTTGGTTGTTTGGTTGGATAGTTGGTTGGTTAATTGGTTGTTTGGTTGGTTGTTTAGTTGGTTTGTTGGTTGGTTGTTTGATTGGATGGTTGATTGGTTGGATGGTTGGTTGTTTGGTTAGTTGGATGGTTTGTTGGTTGTTTGGTTGGATGGTTTGTTGGTTGTTTAATTGGATTGATTGAATGGTAGATGATAGATTAACGGACTGATTGATTGGATTGATTGATAAGTTGTTCAGGATGCTATTTAATTAACTAACTAATTATTTAATTGATCTGTTGAAAAAAATTTCCAAACGAATGATCTAAAAAAAATCTTCTCATAAAACATTCCTCAAGTTAGGAAGTTCAATTATATTAAATCTCTAGACAACAATAAAACCATTTCAAAAAATCACTTCAAAACGAACACACACACACAACACAGAACAAACACACACACACACACACACACACACACACACATTACAGAACACACAGACACAACACACACACACGTACTAGGGCTTATCATCGACATCGTTCGAACACGACACAATTTCGATGGCGACAACCAGACAAGTGGTGTGCTCCGAGAACACGGAATTAAGGACCGGATAGAGAGGCCAGATGATGGCGAAGACTATGATCATGGCTATGAAAATGGAGAAAACCAGCATTGCTCTGAGGAACCAATATTCCGGGTGGAAACAGATGTTCACCCAAGTTCGGGGAGGGGGCTCATGCAGTTGGACGGGCTGGTTCGGGATTGCCGCCAGGAATTCATGTTCCGCTGCGAATTTTAAGTTTTTTTTAATTCAAGGTTTTTTGTTAATCTTAATAAATTTTTTCATCCAAACTTTTATTTCATTTTATCAATCGATCAATTCACCCACCAATCAACCCCGCGAACCACCCATCCATCTACCATCCACCACCCCCACAAACCATCCCTCTCGGCAGCCTGCTCCTGCCTGGTCTTCCTTTCCAACAACATCCTCTTCTCTCCATCCTCTCCCCGTTGTGAACTGATGTCAATCTCGACGTCAGCTTCCGGTTGAGCCCCGGTTGGCTGTTCCCTTGCATGAGACGATCCAATTGGAGGAGGACAACTGGATGAGGACTCTGTCAGCTCCCTTAAAATGGTATCCGGGCTTTTTCTCCTTTCTTCTTCTACGTGCGGTTCCGATGGTTCCTTGCTATCTTTTGATGATTTGTCTTTACCCCTCTTCTGTTTCTGATGTTTTTGTTTGGTCTGCTCTGACTTGTAGGAGGACGATGAATCGCTACTTTGGTCTTCTTTCACTACTTTTCCTCCATCAGATGGTGAGTTTTGTTGGTCGCTGGATGTATCGTGGGGGACCTCATCCTCGTGTGATGGCCCATGTTTGCCGACTGGCTTGCTGTTTGCGTCTTGAAGGATGGGATGAAATGGTTTCATTAGTAATTTCAAAATTGCAGCAGCAACGGTACCCACTGCAACATACACAGACGTACAAACGCCAGGTTTCTTGCTAAGAAAAATTTACAAGTACAAACCGTTTCTGTCAGACATGCTTGACTCCTTTACTTGCAAGAACAGAAATAAATTTAATAATTTGCAGTTAAATTTACACCAACTTAATGTAAATTATTCAATTATATTCATTAAAATTAATCAATTAGTTAATATCCGCGAAACGTTTAATTTATAAAAAAAAAATTAAACCAAACTTTTCAAAAAATTACGAAAGACAATTTTTTCCAAAATCTTGCCTCTATCTCAAAAATTGCCGCATGTCTGTGGAAAAAGCTTACATATAACAAAACTACACATAAACACCCGCATACACACAAAACATATACAATACACACATGTATATATATTATACTGTTAATTCAAACCTTTTGTATTATATAGTTTAACAAAGATACTATACCTTACCAAGTAGCAACGATATAGATACTGCTATTGAAGGATTGCTTGCTTGTAGATAATTTTTATTATCTTAACACTCTACTTATTGTACTGATACTGATATACAGAAATAGATAGATAGATAGATAGAGAGAGAGAGAGATAGGATAAATAAAGAAAAAAACAGATAATACCATTAGTAATGTGTCTCAAAAGTTTTAATTCTCATACAACATATAAATAAACTGTTAAACGGTGACAAATTTAAAAATTTTTTTTTAAATTCCGAAAAATTGAAATTTTCAGATATTTTTATTTATTATAATCTAAAAATAATAAATAATAATATCAATAATAACAAGTTTAGTAATAATAAAAAAGCAAAACAACAAAAAATAAAATCATTTCTTTCCATTTTCTCTGATGTCACCCATCTTTTTACACCCCTGACCCTCCTCAATGACCTTGGTGACCTCCGTGGTGGCATCCCCGCCCTCTTTAACAATGAACACATCCCCACTGGGCCCTTCTTTGAATGACCTCTGAAGGACGTAGGCGTCGGCCGGCTCGATCTTTTTGTAGTAGTTTTCTTTCGTCTCGACGATCTTGAAACCAAACTTTTCATAGAAGGAGATGGCACTGCTGTTGCTGATCTGGACGTGTCTGTCGAAAAAAAGTTGTGAAGATAGTAAAAAATGAGAGAAAGAGAGAGAGAAAGAAAGAGAAAAGAAGAGAGAGAAAGGGAGAGAATAAGAGATTTCAAGAGCGAGAATTAGGAAGCAAGAGAGAAAGAGAGAGAGAGAGAGAGAGAGAGAGAGAGAGAGAGAGAGAGAGAGAGAGAGAGAGAGGTAAGAGAAAAAACTAAAAAACTGAAAAAATAATAAAAAAAGAGAGAAGAAAAATCGAAAATGAAATGGAAAGAGAAAGAAGAATGATAGAGAGTAAGAGAGAGAGAGAGAGAGAGAGAGAGAGAGGGAGAAAGAGTTGAGGACAACAATAAGGACAAATTACTTACAAGTAGACATTATCGTAGAGGCCATCTGTCTGGCATATATTTAATATGTGCTCCAGCATGATGCTGCCTGAATGTTTGTGGTTTATAAAAGAAATTGTAAATGAATATTAATTTATATTTTGGATTTATATCATTATGTATCAATAATTATTCAAAACAAATGAAATAGTGAGATATATATAGATATATATATATATCTATATATATATATATCTATATATATAGATATATATATATATATATATATATATATATATATATATATATATATAGAAAGAAAGAGGGAGACAGACAGAATACTTCAGGATATCTTTTAACTCAGAACATCAATTTTTCAAAAAAAAATAAAATAAATTACTAATTAAACAATTTAAAGTATTCAATATTCCACTATATTTAGCAATAAAATTAATAGATAGACAAAATAAATAAGAAACAGCACATCACTAATTCACCTATCCCTAATCTTCTATATGGGGCAAGGCAGCCAAGTGTCATGATGTACAACCTCTTCTGGCCATCCATCTTGTCCTCTCGACAGCATACGGCCCCGACCACGATGTCATTGTAAAAGGCTGGTGCAGAGAAAAGTTAATTTTAATTCGAAGTCTTATGGAATAGTACACCAATAATGTGGAAAGGGTGGGGAAGAATTAATTGATAACCTAATCAAAAAACAAAGTACACACAACTGTTGACATAATTAATTTCTAATTGACTGACCTAATTAATGACTAATTCACTCACCTAATTAATGACTAATTAACCACCTACTTATTGACTAATTAACTAATTTATACATAGGTAAAATTACTAATCCAATTATAAATTCCAGGTATTCCCACTATATAGAATAATATAGTTAAGTTAACACAGAGTAAGTAATGTTACAAATACTTATATAGTGATTGTAAATATTTACATAGTACAGGGAAAATTTACACATACAAAAAGATTAAGATGTTTTATTAGAAGCAAGAAAGAATTTATTTATAATTGTGTATGTGTTTAAACTTCAAGTTTATTTTATTATAAGTTTTAATAAACTTAAAATATAATTTATAATTATCAGTAAATTAGTGTAATTGGGAAAGTAGAAATTTCCCAGATTACTTACCTAACTTGGCAAGCTCTCCAACCTCCAAAATATCTTTGTAGAATTTGTCGTTATATACTACAGGGAAGACTACCTCATTTATCCGTCTCAACTGTTTTATGTTGTGGCTTGTCACATCGCCTAGCTCTATCACGCCCCTGATTTGATATATTTTTAATAAAAATTATAATTTTAATAATGTGTAAGTAAAGTTAGTTAAACTGGGTTTGGGTATGTAAATTAAGTTGGGGAAATTAGTCTGATTTAACAAAACAACAAAGAAAAATGAAAATCTGAACCGAAAAGTTGTATTTAGTTAGGTGGAAAGATCACAAATTAGACAACTAATTTGCTGATTTTTGTAAAATTTTGTCGTTAACATTTTGAGGAAACGCAAGGAAAAAAATTTTAATGGCGGAAATTTTGATTCAAACTCGAATTCTAGATTATCGCCGTGTAGGGTAGAAACTTGGAAGCGCCGGTGCGAGCAAATTTTGAAAAAAATAAAAAAATTAATTAAATCGCAAATGAAATCAAAATATATCAAATAAAAATTGAAAAAAAAACAATTTTAAATACTTTTTCATCTTCTTTCGTAAAAACTTTTTGAAGAGAAATTGAAAACTAAAACAGAAAACGTGCGTGAAGGTGCAAACAAGTGAGAAAATAATATGGAAAGCTAGTTTCATTTTAATTACGTATTAAATTTTATTCCATGTATATGGCTTTTCATGGTCCTGGTTATGACATTAAACTGACCCTCACTGCCTTGTGAGTGATGTTGGATCATCAAAGGCTAGGCCCACCGCTTATAACTGTGGTTGCGTAAGGAAGGGCGTCCTGCGTAAAAATTAGCCAAATAAATTACTTATGATGACAGAAGTGACAATGTGACAGATGAGAATGGCGTCGAGGGGTTTTTCGGTTCCATCATAGGTAGCCAAACGGCAACCCCCGATCTCGGGGAAAATGTCGTCTAAACGTGTGTTGTTGTTGTTGTTGTTGTATATGGCTTTTCATGTAGTGGAATGGCACGGTAACTTATACGCATACACTTTCACACTTTCACACACACACACACACAAACACAAACACACACACAAACACAGTCACACAAACACACACACAGACATCATGTTTGATTTTGTGGTGGTATTTTTAGTCCAGTTCTACTCCATTTTCTCATTTTCATCATGAGTTTTAGCTAAGTTAATTAACTACAGATAGGTGAGATGTGATAGGAAAGCCAGGGCCTGGGTTGGGTGACATTGGCTTAAGCAAGGGATTGAGAATAATTTGCCATATAAGCTATAGGAAGACCATTACCATACCATACATATGCACATCATTTGTATGTATATTTCTAAATAAATTTTAAAGTTTAATAAAAATTCCTTTGCTTTTAGCTTCACGTTACAAAATGCCTTTCGTTTCGATCTAATTAATAATAGTAATAAACATACAGTTACTCTTGCGACTGCTGCTGCTACGATCTCTACTACTACTACTACTACTACTACTACTACTACTACTACTACTACTACTACTACTACTACTTCTACTACTACTACTACTACTAATTATAATAATAATAATAACAGCAATAAAATAAATGTCATTTTTTTATTAGAAAAATCTGTGTGAACGAACAAAATTTATATTCTTTAAAAAAATTGCAAATGTTGTTTATAATAATATTAATAATAATCATTATTATTATTATTATTATTATTATTATTATTATTATTATTATTATTATTATTATTATGTTATTATTATTAGTAATAGCAGTAGTAATAGTAGTAGTAAAAGTAATAAATATAATATTAATTATATTTTGGAATGAATTTTATTTGATAAAAATTGAACAATAAGCAATTTAGTTCAATAGCATGAGACATTGATTTATTTACACTAGGCGTCATACACGTTTAAAGATATGATTTATCGATTGATATTCTTTATTCTTTCTCTCTTTCTCTCCTTTTCTCTCTTTCTCCCTCTCTCTCTCTCTCATCTCTTTCTATTCTTTTTTTCTCTTTCTTTCCTGGTCTTCATCACTTTCATGATCACCAATTGAATAAGTAAGTTGTTTACAATCGTCATCAACATATCGTCATCATCATCATCATCATTTCCTTCTTCTTCTTCTTCTTCATCATCATCATCTTCTTCTTCGATTGAAAGAGGTCAGATGTTAGCCCTAGAAAGTTTAAGTCGCAGGTTGAAAACAAAATGTTTCAAAAGGTATGGTAACATATGACTATGATGATAACGATGATGATGATGATGATGATGATGATGATAACGATGATAATGGTGATAATGATGATTAAAAATAACATATAAAAAACGAACGCAGAATAGAGCGATCAATAAATTATGACCTCATTTACACGCTATTTAGCCTGATTATTTACTCAATCATCATCATCGTCGTCGTCGTATTCATCATCGTCATCATCATCGTCATCATCATCATCGTTATCATCATCGTCATCATCATTAAACATTCACTCGGACTGTCAAAACGAACAAACACACAAACACACACACGCACAAACACATACACACACACGCACGCACAAACACACACACACACGCACGCACAAACGCACACAAATACACACACATACATACATACTCACATATATGTACACACACAAACGTACATAAATACTTACATATCTCTTTATATACCCATATTTATCTTAAGGTTGTGTCAGAAAAAGATCAACACACTTACAGGAAAATATTGAAAATTATTAATTAAAATTATTTAAAATTATTTAAAATTAGTATAATTCCGCAATAACAAATAATAGTAATAATAAATAATAATAATAATAAATGATAATAATAAATGATAATAATAATAATAATAAATAATAATAGAATTTTCAAGTTCATAATTCATGAAATCGTTCGGACTAGTGTAAAATTATGGTGATTTAGATTGATTTAGCTTAAGTTAGGCAAAAATAATAATGCTGATTATTATTATTATAGCAAGAGTAATTAATATAGTTATAATAATAATTGTTTTTGTTGTTGTTATTGATGAGTTGTTGTTGTTTTTGTTGTACACAATCAATAAATTTTATTTATGAGTACATAATTATTAAATGTGCCGCAATTAATTTTTCATAAAAAAAAAATTATTTTTTATAATAATAAATAAATGAATAATAGTAATAACAACAATAATAATAATAGTAATAATAATAACAATAATAATAATAATAATAGTAATAGTAATAATAATAACAACAATAATAACAATAATTATAATAATATCAATAACAGCAAATAAAGGATAAAATTTAATTGTTTCAAGTATAAAAAACTGCGAACACGTTTTGAAAATCATTCACGCACACGTACACACACACACGCACGCACACACACACACACACACACACACACACACATATATATATATATATAGTATATATTTATATATATAGAGTATTCTATGAATTGTTGTCATTCTGTAGAATTCACACAACACTATAAATATGGTCTCCTTTCAACACATATATATATATATATATATAAATGTGTATGTATATATATATATATATATATATATATTGTTTGTTTATATATGTATATATATATATACTAACACACACACCCACATACACATACACACATACACAAAAGTAAGTCACATAGAAGATGTTTAAAATGGTATAAATGTACTAATGTACCATGCTAGACCGGTCAATTAATTTATTTTAACTTACCGACGGAATAAGTTAGTAGTATTATTATGACAATTATAATAATTATCATTTTATAATAAATATAATTATTATTATTATTATATTATTTTCATTGTAATTATTATTTTATGAATTAGCAAGAAAACCTAGAAAAAAATTATTATTCTACAAAATATCTCATCTTACTGCCAATAAACCCCTTTAATAATAATATTAACGTAAATAATAATAATAATAATAATAATAATAATAATAATAATAATAATAAAAATAATAACAATAACAAAAATAATAATATAAACTTAAAAAAAGCACCTGCAACAATAGCAATAATAAGGATTGAGATGACGTCAAAGATGACGTTGTCTGAAACATTCCGCAATCGTCATCATCATCATCTTCTTCTTCCTCATCATCACCATCGTCGTGACGTCATCATTTTCAAAATCCTCCTCATCATGACCTTGACGAAAACGG